CTCCAGCCCTCATATGGTGCAAGAGCTCCACTTCCTTCATCTGTATTCATTGCAGTTTTATACCAAGGCTGAGAGGCTTGGCTCTCGGCCTCACTCCCCACTTCCAACCCCACGTGCAATTGCCCATGCCTCAGCATACTTCATAGCACGCCATTCCTGCAGAAGGGTAGCTGGAAAAGAGTGATCAGGGAATTTTGGGTGAACTTCAGCTACAGCTGTTTTGTTTTACTGCAAAAAAAAATTATAGCGAATTAAGTCTAAAAATGAACACATTCATGCAGTAACATCTCCCTCCTACAATCAAGTTTCATGCCCTGGAAAGAAGAGATTAGGGTTTCTCACGCATTCGATGATAAAAACAAACAAGGAAAGAATTTAAGAGGAAGATTCTAAAATCTCAGATTCTGCGCCATACAGCTGATGCCAAGACAGGCTGAAGTTCTGGTGGACTTTGCTGTTTCCTGTAAGTGTTTTCCTTTTATAGTTCCCATAAGCATATTCTGCTGTCATGTGCCAGGTCAGTCAGACACAGGGTGGTAGCAGAACAGCCAAAACCATACAAAACATAGTAATTCACTATGGGAACCAGGAGTTACAGCCTGCTTCAGCTGACCATCTCAGCCATAACACTATGAAAGCAAGAAGAGATCTTATCCAAATCAAGCATAATTTTCCCATTTTCTCATGCAGGTATCTGAAGAAATTCCTTCTCCGTAGTTCTACAATTGACGCAAACAGAAAGCTGAGCAGCTGAACTGAATGCACAAAAATTCAGTTCCCCAAGCAGCACATCCTGACATATCTCAGGTCAAGTGGTTGCCTATGGAATCAAGGATCCTAAGACATCAGGCAACTCCTTGCTATTGCTGGAGACACAAGCTGGGGCATGTAGGATTCCAGCATGAAGTGCACCGGCATAATTTCTCTCCCAGCCCCAAGTCTATGCCAGGTCCCAGGATAAATGGAGGCTGTGGAGTCAGCAACAGGTCACTGTCACCACTCCCTCTCCAAGACATCACAAGAAACTGGCGATCAGGACGGACAATGTGGGCAGCCAGATGATAGCATGCATCCTGCAAAGAGAGGCAGAAACTTTAGAACTTACTTCACACTAAAGTAATCCAGCATGCTGAGCTCTCTCCTTCACACCCAAACAGATAGAGTTTCTGAAAACTCCAGCTTCAACTTGGTCTCCTTCCCATGAGTAATACTGATCATGGCATGTAAAGACATGTCCACATGGTCTTCTGTGTATCATTTTGCTCATGCAGAAACCTTTTAGTGCCCTGACCCCAACCCCAGCAGCTCTAGACTCACAACCTCTGCAATTTGCAGGGGACACTGGAACTTCAGTTTCTAGATTCTTCATAATGCTCACCACTGCTTTATCTAACCTCTGTCTTCTCAGAATCCAGCGTAAGACAACTTTGTTCCCACAAGGAGCTTCTAAATAATACCATGACCCAGCACAATGCTACAGAGGCAATCCCCGAGACTCACATGCACTGCTCACTCTCTTCTTTAGCTAGTGGTCATGGCTTGAAAGCCAGAATCAAGGCTGGATGCTGGTTTCATAATATGCGAGAACATCTGCCTAGTTACATGGTAGAACACATGCAGCCAGCCAGTGCTGTGCTGGCTGAAGATGGGATAAATGTTTGTACAGACCAGGAAACAGTTTTCATCATTTTACATGCAGCAATGCTATTGGACACAGAATCATGTTGCAGAATCTTCTCAAGTTTTAAAGTAATGATTTTAATCCTTAAGCCACACAAAAAAAGTCCAAGGAAAACCAGCGATAAATTAAATGCTTCTTGACAGAGCTGGGAACAGCTCAAACTCAGAGAATCACAGAAATTGGATATTGCCCCTGAAGGCAACAAGCTGTCAACTTACTAATTACTCCATTGTTTGTTAGCAGATACTTGCAGGTACACTGTTTCCACCTTGCAACCTCAAAGTATTTTGTACAACTTCAAAAGGTGCAAAGGACTCCTCCTCTTCTCCTGGCTTCATTTAACCCTCTTGACAGTACAGTGAAGCACAAGCAGTACAAATACCTGCAGCTCAGAGTCAGGTAATGCACAGCAAGATGAAAAAGTAATTGCACCAACTACATTATTAATTTACATAAAAGAATCCTTAAAATACTTTCTGCAATTACCAGCTGCTTCAGCTTGTTTTCCAGCCTACTGCAGAGAGGCCTCGCAGTAGCCTGCGAGCCCCAGCCCAGAGTCCTGCCTCCTCCCAGAAGCTCACAGGTCTTGGGTTCAGTCCTGAAGGGCTGCAGGTGGAGAACCATCCTCTCACCCCTGCAGCAGACCTCAGCACGACACCCAAAGACCTGGAGAGGCCCCTCACCCACCGATGGCACTGGCCAGTTTGAATCTCTCTGTGCAGCCCCAAAAGAACGCTGAGCTGAGAAGGCAGCATTTTTTAAATATTTTATTTATTATACAAACTATTTACAAAATCAGCTACTACAACCACAGGCTTTCAAATTTTGTCTGAACTCTGCCAGAAATTCACCAGAGGGAACTAGGATTTGAACTGTATCATACACAGCTCCTGGTTTCTAAAAACATGCAACATGGCCTGCAGGTGCAGGCTGAAGCCAGGCTCTCTGCACCTCAAAGCAGCTTCAGGAAACAAAGAACCTGTCTGAGATGATACTGGGATCCTAAAGATTTCTACAGAAGTGCCTCTATTACATGTCAATAAATAAAGGGTAAAAAGAAAAGTTACAAGCCTCTGCCAGAAGTAACATACAGTATAAGTGACCAAAGGACATCCCCACGGCCAGTGTTAAGGGCAGCATAAAAAGTGACTGTACTGGGAAAGGGTATAAAGCTAGAGACAAGTTCAGAAACATTGTGATGGATCTCAGGAGCATGGGACCAGCTAAGGGCCTGTGGAAACAATGGGGATGGGTTTAGTTGACTAACAGCACCCATCACAGTTCTGACTGCACATGTATTAAGAAAGTCCTTGGCATCTGCACAGTTGCTATGAAGCATGGGGTGCTGGCTGCAATGCAATGAGAAGCATTTAGGAGCTCTTTCCAGCAGACGAAGACTGCCCAATGTCCAGCTACTTTGTCCTCAGAACAAAAAAGTCCAGCTCAAGAGAAGGGAGAAGATTCCTGAGGAAGATGTCACTGGCAGAGCTGGCCCATAGCTACAAGGCTGGAAACATCCTGACCAGGTGAGACAGCAAGACAAGGCTGCAACATGGGAACAGCACCAAGCTACACCTCCCAACAAACAGGAGTTAAGCCAAGCACCGCCACCTCCTCTCAGTCCCTGGAGAAAGTGGTGGCATGGAGAACACAGGAGCTGTAACTTTACTGACCATGGAAACCATCTGCAGTGTAAATAAAATGGTACCATACTCTCCACCCAAAGGAGATCAGGACCTTGCAGAATGGAGCCTGCACTAAAAGAGGAAGAACAGCCACTATTAAAGTGATCTGTCAGAGTACAACAGTGGCAACTCTCAATCTGGCAGCCTCCCAGCACCTTGGTGCCACTGAGGGAATGAATTCACAAGGCAAAGAAACCCCCCTGAGTAGTCTCAATGCTCAGCTGGTTGCTTTTTGGCACCAAAATGGCTTTTTTTTTCCTGTACAGAAGTAACACACTCAGCCCAAGAATGGCTAAGATGCTGCCTTAAAAACATGTTCTAGATGTAGAATGTTTTCCCCAAATTCCCAGTCAATTCAACTAAGCAATACAGGAAAAGAACAGAGTTATCTTAAAACACCCACACTGTGCAGAAGTCTGCCCAGATCAGCCTGAGGATAGCAGAAGGGGACTGAAGAGGGTGATGTGACTTTTTATCTGATACCATGTTCTAAAATTAGCTCAGAGATGCCAGTCTGAGACTCCATTCTGGAAGAAATCCAGCAATTCCATAATCCAGTGAAATCTTACATTGCCAGTAGTAGCAGTGCAGGTTTCTCACAGTTTGACTTCTGACCTGAACTGTCTAAGGGACTGTTGAGAACTTAAAGCTCTTGAATTTTGCTTCACTGAAGAACTCATCAAGATTCCAAGATTCCCAGATTCCCCTTCCCTTTATTTCCCTGGGAAGGGCTGAATGGACTGCCAGCAACAACACACCCCAATCATAAGCTTACTTCTCATGCTGGTCTGCTCACTTGTCTCCCCACAAGCCAGACAATAGTGAGTGCAGGCTGTTGAGTGATCACTTGAGTGAAGTTCTAGTTAACATTTCATGCTGGAAAGCCAGCAGTACTGACTAAAACAGCAGGAAAGAAGAGCTGAAGAAAGAAGGTAGGAATATTGTGAGGACAGAAAGCCAGCTGCTCTCCAGGCACCAGCACCCCTCTGGAAACTCTGCCTGAAATGCAGTAGAGAAAGAGAAGCCTCAGGCTGCTGCATGATAGAGGTAGAAGCCAAGACCCTGTGGGATGCCGGGGTGGAGGTACCACATTCTGCCCAGTACCATCACCCCAACAACAACGCAAGCACAGTGCACACTGTAGCTGCTTACTGACCTGTCACTGTTACTACATAATATACATACCCTGAAGGTGAATGTGGGATAGGCATTGGTGCTCAGCATTGAGGGATCACACTCATGCCCATACTCTCTCTCCTGAGGAAGGGAAAAGAAGGCAAGGGCATGGGACAGCATCCTGTGCAACATCAACTGTCAGAAACATTCAAATGGAGGAGAAATTCTTCTTCCAGTTCATTTGCAGAGGCTCATTACCAGCCACTGCTGGAGAAGGACGCTTCTGCTGCTGGACCCTGGTGGAGGTAGAACAGGATCACTGTCAGGGCCAGCACTTGTGCTCTGATGAGATTGTTCTCCCTTTTGGCTTACTCCCTCCAGTGGATACTGCCCATTCTTCTCTGTGGCACAGGCGATGGCAGCATCCAGAGCAAGATGGAGAAGGGGAACCAGAAACCCTTCTGGGTCAGGTGCTGAAAGGATGGACAACACTATACTCTTCATGACTCACAGTTAGATGAGCTATTGGGGAGCATCACTGGGGGAGTTGAGCCAAGATATGGAAAGTTACTAAGGCTTCCCGTGAGCCAGATTTCCAGCAGAGCTCCATGCTGGTCTTCCCTCTTCCTCCCAGAGAGCTACAATAAAGGCAGCTCAGCAGATCTCCTGCACCTCACTAATTTCTGCTTATGAACTTCATCTTCTCACAGAAGGATGGGTGTACAGGGTGCAGGGAAATCAAGTGCAATATCTCCTTGATGAATGCACCACAGTCCTTTTGCTGTTTCACATTGAACCAAAGGGAGAATGAGACAAAGGGAAAAGATGAGCTCTTGATGACGTATTTGGGATACGGAAAGGCCACGTGACATCTTCTGGATGACAAATTCCTCTACATGGAGTCTTTGCTCTGCCTCCATTACCCATGTGAAGGGAAGAAGAAAAAGCAGAGGACTGAACCTGGGTCTTGCCACGAAGAGCCAGGAGGCTAAGTGGTCTCCTGGAAAGGGGAAATCACAGCATGCCAAAGCCCTCGCAACCCTCGCTGATAGCTAGCTGCAGCATCTTGTGCACTTCTTCATAGGAGTCATAAGTAGGGAGGCACAACTGGTTAAAACTGTAAAACAAAAGAGAAATTCCATTCAGACTAGATCTGAGAGGGGACCATCCCCATCAGCTGTTTTTAGATGGGTTGACACAAGCGTCACACACATTACATGTTATACACTGCTTGCCCACCGCAACTAGCTGGTGTCATTCCCAAAAGCACAATGCAGGAAGTCCTACAACCCCAGGATACTTGCCAAGTGTGGGCTGTTGGCAAAGTACTGTGAGTTGGAGCTGCTATGATCTGGAAAGATGGACAGAGTGCAGCAAACCCTCCCGGGGGCAGCTGGGAGGAGCCAGTTGTGAACTGCAAGAGCCTGGCCAGTTCTTCCTGTGTGAAACTGGAGACCACAGTCCAAAACCACCTCATGACCTGTTAGGAAACAGGAAAGGTAAAGCCAGGTCAGCCAAGCAAATCAAATAAGCATATAAGCAAGTTGCAAGAAGATCACTCAGTTGCCCTTGTAAGCAAGTGCTTTACTAATAGAATTTTTATTGTTTTACCAGGGTGACACATAGAGGCAAGTATTACATAGTTTCTTACTATCAGTTAAGAGATGTCCCACGCTACTACCTCCCACCAGTCCTTTCCCTTAAAGCAGAAATGCTTCTGCTCTCCCCACAGAGATTTTCTTTTTAGAAATACCTGCATAGGCAACGAGGTAGGTTTACAATGCAGAAGCTCATTTGCATCTTGCACTATGCTAATCTTTTGCTTTTTCACATCCTTTGGTACTTTTGCAGGAAGGTGGAACCATCCCAGTGTTTACAGCTAGAAGCTTGTACTCCCAATCTCTTTTCATCTTGGGTGTTTTGGCACCTTCCATTATTTTTCTAAATGAAGCTGCTACCATTCCCATATCCCTCCCCCTGGGAAAGGCAGGGAGGGATGGGAACAATTACAGGGTACAAATTTAGGCTACTACATCAGTAGTCTTTACCACAGCACTGAATTCCAAACACTCCACGTGGGCTGAAATCATGATCTTCAAGCATCCCTTAGGAGATAAGTATATCACCATGAACATCTTCCGTAGCAGTAATTCCCACCAATTCCTCCTGATTCCCTGCCAAACTGTCCTTAATTAGTGTTTTGTTGGATTTTGTTAAAAATACCACTGCTGTTGACTTTTACCTGCTGGTAACTGATTAAGCATCACCTCTACTCAGCCAGGCTGAAGGATCACTCTAGGGAGAAACATTATTTCATAATGCGTGCAGTCCCACTCCTGACTGCTGAATCTTCCAGTTTGTCCTTCTGGAAGCCTAATTTCCAACCATGAAATCTGTTCCCAGTTTAAGTTGTCTTCTGCTGTAGTTGGAATAACTGTTTTCAGTAAGCAGGAGGGTGAAACCCTTTCACTTACCTTCTCACGGAAGTGCCAAGATCCTCCTACCACTACAGCATGTGCCTTGAAGTCACAGACACTGATATCTCCAGTACCGCACATAAGCAACTGAAAGGCAAGAGATGCAGTCAAAGTCAGAAACAAGGCAACAGCTACTGTGCAAATTACAAAAAGGGTAGAGATGCTTAGGGAGGCAGCAATTACCTCAAGCTCATTCTCATCAAAAATAGCCAGGAGGTTCTCAGGAACTAACTCATTAAGACCTGGAAGAAAAGAGGAGAGAAAAGCAGCAAGTGCTATCCCCCTGGGACATAAAGGCAGAAAGGAGCAGGGAGCAGACAGCATGTTACCTTTCAGGAAGTGATCCACCTCCTCTCTAACCTGACTGGCCAGCCTGTACTGCGCAAGCAGATTTAGATACAAGATTTTGTTTTCATTGGTCACAGGAACTTGAGCCCCTCCTGTCACCAGTTCCACTACCTGGAAACAGAAGAACACTTGAAGCGAGTGTGACCAGCAGCGTTCCCCAGACCTGAACTCCCAACCAGAATAAACCCAAGCAAAGAGCTACTGCCCAGAGTAAGCTCAATTTTCTGGGGTACATAGCAGAGTTCTCGGCCTCCCCTGCTACAGGCAGAAGGATTACACTGTCCCACCTTCAGAATTGCCTCCCTCCTCACCTTCTCCAGCTGTCCTGTTTTGCTATACTTCTCTTCCGCAAAGACCAGATCCATCTCACTCACATCATTGTTCAGTATGAAACAAACTTTGGATTTATAGAATTCTGGGTCATCTGTTTCAAAATACTGTGTGCAACAAAAAGAATGCAGGGACACAGAAGGAAGGAAAAAGAAAAAAACAAACGTACATTGTTAACCAGGACTGTGGATCTACTTCTACGACACCAACGTTCAACCTCTCCCCAGACCAATACAGGCTTCAGACAAGGCTGGGAAGCTTTACCTTGTAATGCATACGAAGTCCTATGATCTGAGCCAGGAAGGATCGGGTGAAGCGAGCTCGAACCAGTTGTTTGTAAGCACCTCCTAGAGACGATTCATAAAGACACTTTCCTACTAAGCGACCTGCAAATTCATACACTTTGAGTCGTAAATATGTTGGACGCCCTGGATTTGGATGCACCTGCAAAGAGGAAGCAAAATGAAATATCCAAGTACCAGACAAGACTAGCACAAACAGCAAGTATGGTACCAGTTCAAGTCACTGCATCTCTCAGGCTGCCCCAGGAGCTTTAGTGTAATATCCTCAAAGCCAAGCAATAGAAACAAAATGCCTGAACCTGCATAGGAAGAATACAAAATGTTTCACATGCACTGGCCAGAAGCTGTATGAGAGCAGAAATGGATTCTGAAACATTCAGACCCAACAAAACCTCTAAGACACTCCGATGCCACCTCCTCTTGCCCAGAA